AGCTCTTCTTCAACCTGCATACCAGGTGTGCTTCATCATAGCACTCTGGTTTAGGAATTCTGGAGGAGCGTCTTAGTTCCGGTGTGCCTGGTTCTTCTTGAACTGCTTCAGGACTGATCTGAACATCATTTCCAGAAATCTCCTCAAACTCAACAAATTCCTTTGTTTCATCTTTGGTATACATCACATTCTCATTGAAAATGACATCTCTGCTTCTAATGATCTTCCGATTTTCATAGTCCCAAAACCGGTAACCGAACTCATCACCGCCGTAACCAACAAAGGCACATTTGTTGGACTTAGCATCAAGTTTACTTCTTTCAGCAGAGTCTATGTGTACATAAGAAATACAACCAAACACTCTTAAGTGTGAAAGGTTTATTTCTTTCTTGATCCAAACTTCCTCTGGTATTCTGCCATCCAAAGGAACTGAGGGCCCACGGTTGATCAGGTAAGCTGCAGTGTTAATAGCTTCAGCCCATAGAAATTTGGGCAATCCGACATGTATCCTCATGCTTCTGAAACGTTCATTCAGAGTTCTGTTCATGCGCTCTGCTACGCCATTCTGCTGCGGTGTCATGGGAACTGTTGTCTCCATCTTGATCCCATTGTTTGCGCAAAAATCTCTGAATCTCCTATTTCTGTACTCTCCTCCATTGTCAGACCTCAACCGCTTGACTTTCATACCATTCTCATTTTCCACCATGGCCTTCCATTTTCTGAAGGTATCAAAGACTTCTGATTTTTTCTTCAAAAAATAAACCCACACCTTCCTTGTAGAATCATCGATGAAGGTGACATAATATAATGAGCCTGCAAGAGATGGAACTGGAGATGGTCCCCATACATCAGTATGAACTAACTCTAACGTTTCAGCCTTGGGAGTCTTACCAATCTTTGCAAAGCTGACTTTCTTTTGTTTGCCAAAGATGAAATCCTCGCATAGTCCAACATCTACATTCTTTAGATTCGGCAGCTTCCCCTTTGACAAAAGTATCTTCATCCCTTTCTCGCTCATATGGCCAAGCCTTTGTTGCCATAGGTTTGATTTTCCATCAGCATCTGCTACTGCAATGATATTCTCTAAATTTGAGGTTACATAGAGAGTACCAGTCTTCTTACCATGAGCAATGACGAGTGCTCCTTTGGTAATCTTCCATTCACAACCTGAAAAGGTTGTACTGTATCCTTCTCCATCAAGCTGTCCTACAGAAATCAAATTTCTTTTGAGACCAGGAATATGTCTCACTCCTGTCAGCTTCCAGGTGGTCTGGTTTGGCAGCTTTAGTCGGATGTCTTCTTTTCCGACGATCTTCAAGGTTTCATCATCAGCAAGATGAACCTTCCCAAAATCACCACTGACATAGTTCTCCATGATTTCTTGGCATGGCGTGGAGTGGAAAGATGCCCCTGAATCCAAAATCCATGATTCAATCGAACTGTTGACGCTTAAAATCATGGCATCACCTGTCTCCTCCGTCATGTTGGCAGATTTCTGTGCGCCGGTATTTTTCTTCGGTGCTCGGCAATCTCTTTTGAAGTGGCCCTTCTTGCCGCAATTATAACAGTTCAAATCTTTATTTCCTGTTCTTGATTTTCCCCTTCTGGATTTCGATCTGCCACGATTTGAATTTCTTTCTAAAGTTCTCCCTCTGGACTCCGTGTGCAAGGCTGAGGAGGTTAATGTTTCATCCGATTCTCTCCGTCGAATTTCTTCGCTTAGTACCAGATCCCGAACATCGTCGAATTTTAATTTGCTGTTTCCCGACAAACTGCTGACTGCTGTAACAGTAGCATTCCAACTGTCTGGTAAATATGATAAGAGAATTAAAGCTAGAACTTCATCATCAAATTCAATTTCCACTGAACTCAACTGGGTTGTGATTGTGTTGAGTTCATTTAGGTGTTGTGCCACCGATGCCCCTTTTGTCATCCGCAAATTGAATAATCACCTCATCAAATGAACTTTGTTTGAGGCCGATGGCTTCTCATACATACTGGAGAGAGCCGTCATAAGACCCGCCGTGGTCTTTTCCTTTGCTATGTTGAAAGCAACATTGCGGGATAACGTCAGTCGGATAACTCCGAGGGCTTGTCTGTCGAGAAGAGCCCAGTTTTCATTCTTCATGCCCTCTGGTTGTTTTCCTGAGAGGGGTTGATATAGATTTTTCTGGTATAGAAAATCTTCAATTTGCATCTTCCAAAATCCAAAGTCCGCACCATCGAACTTTTCAATTTTCACCTTCCCTTCGTCTGCAGCCATCGCTCCCACTCGAATCTGGCTTCGTTTGGATCGTTTCTGACAATTTTTGCGAACCACCGTGTATTAGAACACCTCCGTCGACAAACTCGTATCGCCGACCGAATTTCACTATTCACGAAATTCACTATTCATGTGAATAGTAACCCAAATAGTAACCTCGTAAAAAATTAACAAATTTCACAACCCAAAAGCTCTGATTACCAGTTGTTGGGAAATAAACCAAGTACAAGTAATTTTCCTATAACCAGATTAGTGAGAATGCAAAATAAAAGCGGAAAAATAATACCCGAAATTGATAACGGAGTTCAGCCAATTGTGCTTACGTCTCCGGACTGCTGCAGATCTTTTACTAAGAGAGAAAATTTACAGGTGTTTACAAAACACTCACTACTCACAAGAAAACTCTCTAGTATTGGGAGAAAGAAATGATTTTTGGGATGGTATTGAAGCTAAATGAGCTAGGGTATTTATAGTTGAAACTTAAGGACTTAATCTTGTAAATACCCTAAAACCTAGGGATTAATTATGATTATCCCATTATCATTTTTCAACAAACATCTACCAAACTTTGAAAAACTATTTTTCAAAGAAACATTTACCAAACTTTGAAAACCATTTTCAAAGAAACATTTACCAAACTTTGAAAACCATTTTTTAAAAGTTGGTTACCAAACTTGAAAACCATTTTAATACTTTCAACAGTAAAGGTTTTGGAGTTCGAATGGATTCAACAGTAAGAAGCCGAAGTGATGGTCACATAATTTCAAAGAAATTGGTCTGTCGGAAAGAGGGATTTAGGAAGGAAAAGTGGAACAACTTACCCAATAGAAAACGTGAACCAAAACTAATAAGTAGAGTTGGATGCAAAACGTTTGTTAAATTTAAATTTAACAAGAAATATAAATTCTAGAAAGTTGAGAATTCCACACACATTATTGTCATGAAATGATAAAGCCAACACAAATGTCATACATCAAGTAAATAAATGTGTAATTATGTTATATTTTTTGCATTATTCTTTACCATTCCTTTCGTAATATATCTATAATTTATAATGCCTACTGATGATTTGGTTGTAGGTCCTTTCGAAAAATTAGTGAGGCAGATAAAATCAAAATTAATACCATGCACAACTCAGGAATTGCTTCAAATAAAATGATGTGAAATTTTATGAATGAAGACAATATAAAATAATTAATTTACTTAAAATATATAGTTATGGTTTAAGTAATAAGTTCATAATATAATCTTCATGCATATTCGGTTGTTTCGGTAAGTCTGGAAAATCAATTGGAAATTGTGAGGCATATTCAAATAATCGACTCAAATGAGGATGTGTCCCATAAACATGAAGGTTTTATTCAACTGATATTACAAGTAACACCACAAACAAGAAAAATAATTTATTAGAATTGATGAAAATTCTATTTAATTTAATAAACCAATAAATACTTACTAAATCTTGTACAATTTTTTTATGTTCCTCGTTTACACTAAGGGAGTCCAAAATATAATTTTGTTGCTCCACGAAATTAACAACCAATAAAAATCTGTAAAATTAGTCAAATTGGAAGTTACAAGCAAGTACATGTTAGTAAACAACAAATGAACCACAAATGGCATAACCATATTATAAGGTTATGCCATTTTTTTTTATAAATATCTTGCAAGGGTTACTATAACTATCCGCTATTCGATTCCTCTCTTGGGCACATACCTGAAATCCAATCTCCAATTCTTATCTCTAAAGCTCCGGATACCATTGTCAAAGTAATGGACCTTCTGGAAGTATCTGTCATCGCATGTTTACTATCCGACTCCACACACACCGAAGCCAAACCCATTCTCCAAGCAAGAGATAAACCTTGATAGATTCTCTAAAGTTCAACTTCAAGCGGCGAACATTTCCCGATTGTTTTAGTTGCACATTAAGAAAAGAGATTCTATTATTATTAGTTCATTATGGATCTTTTATAGACGTCTTGATCCTTGTTTTTTCAAATACAAAATTTGAGTTTACATGGGACTTTTATGTGCTTGGCACATGGGAAGTCGACAAATCATCCTAGAGACGGACAACCTTGAAATTGTCAATTGCATTCAGGGAGGGAGAGCTGTCAATTACTGATGATCGATTTTACGACATGTTGTGACCTTGCTACGAAGAGACTGGACTGTTCAGATCTGTCATGTGAGCCGGACAGGTAACTTGGCTGCAGATCTTATGGCGACAATAATGAATACGAGTCATCTTGGTTGTCTCTTGTTTGAAGATTCTCCTGATTGATAAGGACGATTATTGAATCTACAAAAGGAAAAAAATTGGGGAGAGTGGATGTTGTGGGTTGAAATTGAGTTTTAAATCTTTTATAAATTATTTTTAAAAAAATAAGTTTAATATTTTTTAAGGGTGTTCAAACTTTTTCTCATTTTTTCTTTATATTATATATAATTTATATATTTAAAAATCAATGAATTTTTTTTATCATAGAATGCATTTGTTTAGCTGAAAGCTGTGCTATGGAATATTATCATAGACCCTTTCAATCCCTCCCTCCAAAAATGCTGGAATTTGCAGTAACAATTTTCTCTCTCCACTATATCTGATGTAGATAAGATGAAAACCTACGTCATCATCCCCTAATCTTCGTTCTACATTCAAAAACCGATTTTCACGCATCACTTATCCATTTTTTCCACCATATATTTGATGTTTTGCTGGTTCTGCACTATCAACTTGAAGCAAAAACTGAATCTTCAACAAGAAAACAATGACAAAGTCAGCAAGTTGTTTATGGGTGACATGTCCTATTATAATCGGTGCTGGCCCTTCAGGTTTAGCCACTGCTGCTTGTCTCAAACAGAAAGGTATCCCTAGCTTAATCCTCGAGAGGGCTGATTGCATAGCTTCCTTGTGGAAGCTAAAAACCTATGATCGTCTTCACCTTCACCTCCCAAAGCATTTTTGTGAGCTACCTCTTCTGGGGTTCCCTTCAGATTTCCCCACCTACCCAACCAAAAATCAATTTCTTGATTACTTAGAGTCATACCAGAATCATTTTGGTTTAGAACCAGTTTTTAATAAGGTTGTAGTGAGTGCAGAATTTGACCATCGACATGGGGCTTGGCGAGTCATGACGTCGGGACCGGAACAAGAACAAATTGAGTATGTGTCACAGTGGCTTATTGTGGCCACCGGGGAGAATGCTGATGAAGTGATGCCGTTTATCGAAGGAATGAATGATTTTGGTGGGCCTGTAATTCACTCAAGCTCCTACAGGAATGGAAGATCGTATGAAGGAAAAGATGTTTTGGTGGTTGGGTGTGGGAATTCAGGCATGGAGGTTGCTTTGGATCTTGCCAACTTTAATGCTCGCACATCACTCGTTGTTAGGGACTCGGTAAGAATAGTTTGTTTCTTTCTTCCTTCTCATAAGCATCTCTTTTTTAATCGACATTCTTGATGACATTGCGGCAGGTGCACGTCTTGCCTCGTGAAATGCTAGGAATATCAACATTTGGATTTCTGGTGCAGATGATCAAGTGGTTCCCCATTCGATTCGTGGATCGATTTGTGCTTCTTATGTCGCATTTGGTGCTCGGAGACATTGAAAAATTGGGATTTCGTCGTCCCAAAATCGGTCCACTGGAACTGAAGAACGTATCCGGAAAGTCACCTGTTTTGGATGTTGGGACGGTAGCAAAGATCAAGAGTGGAAACATTAGGGTTGAATGCAAAAACTTTTGTATATACAGATCTTGCAATCTATGAAGTGTTGTTAATTGAACTAATGCAGTACTGTTTATATAATGTGTTAGGTGTATCCGGGAATAAAACGGATAACGTTCCTAGGGGCTGAGTTTGTGGACGGAAGGAAGGAGAGGTTCGATGCCATAATTCTTGCCACTGGTTTCAAAAGCAACGTCCCCCAGTGGTTGAAGGTAAATGATCTTAACATGTGTATTTCGAGGTGATTGGAGGAAACATTGTTGGTAATTTAATGTGATGGGGGTGAATGTGCATGCAGGGGGCAGATTTGTTTTCGGAGAAGGATGGGATGCCAAGGCAGCCATTCCCCAACGGGTGGAAAGGAGAAGATGGGTTATATGCAGTAGGGTTTACGAGGCGTGGTTTGCTGGGTGCTGCCTTCCATGCCACAAAGGTAGCCGAAGACATTGAGCTTCAATGGAGAGCTGAGGCCCCCATGTTGGTTGACTTTAGCACCGCACTGTCACTATGATGCTCATCATTTGAAGAGACTTATTACTGATTGGATTTTGATTAAGAAAGAAAGACAAGAAATTTGTTGATTTCTCAGTGTGAATATCTTGTAAATATTTCCAGTTTTCTATATTGACTTAAATTCCCCATTTTTCATGCATGTTCATAAATAACACTTTTTCAATGATTTCACAGTTAATTCTATTCAACCTTAATTTGTTTTCTTCAATCTCGGCTTTGGTGGTTATACACTTATACTACCTAGAAATATAAGCTTGTAAACGAACTAAACGAACACGAATGAATATATGTTCATGTTCGTTCGTTTAACTTTAATCGAAGAAATGAACGAACGCGAACATTAATGAACAAAAAATTTCTAGTTCATATTCGTTTGTTAAAGAATGTAGCTTGTTCGTGTTCGTTCATTTAAATGATAAACGAACACAAATAAACAAACATAAACGAATAGATGTAAACGAACCTAAGCGAACACAACAAACGGACGTAAACGAACATAAATGAACAAAACAAATGAACATAAATCACAATAACAATAATCACATAAAATTCATTAGTATAAGTTGCAACTTCATAGTTAATTTGTATTTAATTGTTTTGGGTTTTTTATTTATTTAAAATTAATTGAATTTTAAAATATTAATAGGTATCGTATTAAAATTTATTGGGTCTTAATATTTTAAATGGGTCTAGAGAGATTGGGCTAAACATAAATAAACGAACATAAACGAACGAAAGTACACGAACATAAACAAACATAAACGAACGACCATAAACGAATATAAATGAATGAACATAAATGAACCAACATAAATGAACGAACATATTATCGAACATTCACGAACGAGCCTTCTATTCATATTCGTTCATTTAATTAAAAGAACACAAAATATTGTTTATGTTCGTTCGTTTACATGCGTATAGATATACCACACCTTTTTGTTTCAGTTGAGAACAGTGGATCTGTTAACGAGTGTTCACAGTGAATCTGTTAAATTTTTGAATTTGCTATACCCTCGGCTATACTTGTTTTAAAAGGATTATATGTTAAAGTTATCCACAAAGTTTAATAATGAATAACCTATGACTTAATAGATCCACAAATTGGATTTTATAATTAATATACTAGATTAATAATAATTTAAATTTAATCTATACGGTTTTATATTTAATCTAATTATGGGACAATCATGTGATCATCAAATACTTACATATAATAAAATATTTAAGATAGAGAGAACAAATCATATTCCTATACCTCTACACAGGGCTGTGGTTGGGTTTTCGGGGGTCCTGTACAAATTCTTATAAAGGGCCTCTATTTTCTAGATATATTCGATTTTGGGGCAATAATAGTGACTTTTTTTGACAAACGCCGCGATAGATCCATCTATAATGGCGTGTTATTAATAAAGCTGCAATAATAGTGGCGTTTTTTGAAAAATGTCGCAATAGGTCCATCTATAGTAACGTTTATTGGAAAAACGCCACTATATATATACTTTTTTGAAGCTCATTTTTTGGAGCCCTGCGCGGTCGCGCAATTCGCGCCGCCTCAGCCACGGCCCTACCTCTACAGGATAATCGACCTACAGTTCTCTGTCTATACTAAAAGGGATGAACCTCCCGTAATCTAAATCATCTCCCAATTTTTATTTTGTCTAATGATAATTCTAATATATACTACTTTAAGTCTTTATTAAATTAAACACAATCTCACTAAAATTTTATTTAAATATTTATCAGTTTAATAACTAATAATTAAACATTTGATTATTTTTATTATTTAATCTCAATTCCATGCCTACCTATATCTATGATAATCAAACTTACTCCTACGTATTTGGATCATGATATAGCATGTAATTGATATGTATAAATTATGTATTTTTATATTTATCCTCGTATATATACATCGTAACTTTTGGTGTTTATGCTTTTATATAAATTAGTTATGTATGAGAGAAATATGTCATTTAAATAGTTAATGCGACAATATAAATAAATATATAAGTAATATTGATAAGATTTAATAAAATAAAATAATTTTATGAGTCTATAATTTATTTAAAGGAGATGGGCTTTAGTTCCAAGAGGAAGGTCAGAATCCATGAATGGCATAACCAGTCTTCCAATTGTCCAAGAAAATCAGTCGCTTTACTGCCCAGAAAGATACCAAGACGGAGAAGAACATAGCCAGACGCTGGGCCTTTGGATCCTTAACATAAGGCAAAACTCACGACATAATGCATTCAAAAAAAATATTTCACGAGATGATGCAATAGTTAGATTAATTGCTGAGATAGGGTTAATTCTACAGTCCCCACGTAGGTCGCCATGCCGTCCAGTGAGATGAGGTAGGTCGCCATGCACGCCCAGCGACCAACGTTCTGCCTCTGCCCACGCATGCTCCAGCTCGCCACTTAAACCTATGTTTACTTCAGGTCTAAATAATCTCCTGCTCCCCGCATATGGCTGACTCTCAACATTCCTCTTCTGGTAAAACTGATTTACAATCTCCAGGTAAACTCTTTACTTTCATTTACCCTTCTTGTATGTTTAAATCTGTTGTAACTACATTTCATCATCTGTTCAGGGGAGGAAACAACACGAGCAGGAGCAGGCGTTGGCAGAGGTTTGCAATGTTGGGAAATAAACGAGTAAACAAGTAATTTCCCTATAACCAGATTAGTAAGAATGCAAAATAAAAGCGGAAAAATAATACCCGAAAATTGATAACGGAGTTCATCCAATTGTGCTTACGTCTCCGGACTGCTGCAAATCTTTTGCTAAGAGAGAAAATTTACAGGTGTTTACAAAACACCCACTACTCACAAGAAACTCTCTAGTATTGGGAGAAAGAAATGATTTGGGATTTGAGATGATTTTGAAGCTAAATGAGCTAGGGTATTTATAGTTGAAACTTAGGGACTAATCTTTGAAAATACCCTAAAGTGCAATGACTAAAGTGAATTTACCCATTCCTATTTTCAACAAACATCTACCAAACTTTACCAAACTTTGAAAAACATTTTTCAAAGTTGGTTGCAAAACTTTGAACTAACTTTTAACAATCTCCCACTTGAAGACTGATTTTAATCTGTCTTCACACCTCGATCAATGCAACAGTATTTCTGGTACACAACTTCAGTTTGTCTGTAGTCACCATCTTTGTCAACATGTCTGCCGGATTTTGAGCTCCATTAATCTTTTCAAGTTTCAAAATCCCATATTCCAGAAGAGATCGAATAAAATGATATCTCGATTGTATGTGCTTCGTCCTGGAATGAAAAGACGGATTCTTTGCTAGATGGATAGTACTTTGACTGTCGTAATACAAGACATTGTTTTCTTGTTTCTTGCCTAACTCTTCCAAGAAACTTTGGAGCCAAACCATCTCCTTGCTAGCTTACATAACATCGACATATTCTGCTTTAGTTGTGGAGAGAGCAACTATCTTCTGTAGTTGAGAAACCCAACTCACTGCAGTTCCTCCTAGAGTATAGACATTCCCTGTAGTGCTCCTTCTGATGTCAATATTTCCGGCTAAGTCAGCATCTACATAGCCTGTTAGTATCGTATCTCCACCTTTGAAACAAAGTGCTTTGTTTGTAGTACCCCGTAGATATCTGAGGATCCATTTGATTGCTTCCCAGTGTACCTTACCCGGATTATTCATGAACCTGCTAACAGCTCCCACTGCTTGAGCAATATCTGGTCTGGTACAAACTATGGCATACATTAGACTTCCAATTACTGAGGCATACGGCACCTTCACCATGTGTGCATGTTCTTCCTCCGTCTTTGGTGACTGTTCTTTGGAGAGTCTAAAATGAACATCTAAAGGTGTACTTACTGGTTTAGCATCTTGCATGTTGAACCTGGAGAGTACTTTGTTGATGTACTCAGCCTGTGATAACATCAAAGTCCCCGACTTTGTGTCTCTCTTGATCCTCATCCCAAGAATCTGCTTTGCAGCGCCCAGATCCTTCATAGCAAACTACTTCGACAATTTTTGCTTCAAGTGTATAATCTCTTGCATGATTGAGCCTGCAACGAGCATGTCATCAACGTACAACAATAAAATAATGAAGCTATTATCGAACCTCTTGATGTAGCAACAATGATCTACTTGGCATCTGGTAAAACCACTGCTACCCATGAAGCTATCGAATTTCTTGTACCACTGTCTAGGAGCTTGTTTTAAACTATACAAGCTCTTCTTCAACCTGCATACCAGGTTTTTCTTGCCTGCCTCTATGAAGCCTTCTGGCTGCCTCATATAGATTTCTTCCTCCAAATCACCATAAAGGAAAGTTGTCTTTACATCTAACTGCTCAAGATGTAAATTCTCTGCAGCTATAATTTTCAATACCAATCTGATTGTAGACAGCTTCACGACTGGAGAGAAAATTTCATTGAAGTCAATACTTTCTTTTTGTTGAAAACCTTTGACAACCAATCTCGCTTTGTAGCGTTTGCTCCCATCGTGCTCTTCCTTGATCCTGTAAATCCACTTGTTGTGGAGCGTTTTCTTGCCTGGTGGTAATTCAGCTAATTTCCACGTCTGATTTGACATAAGCGAGTCCATCTCATCTTTCATGGAAGACTTCCACTTGACTGAATCCTCCACTTGCATTGCTTCATCATAGCACTCTAGTTCACCATTGTCAGTCAGCAATAAGTAGTGCAAAGAAAGAGAATATCGTTGGGTTGGTTTAGGAATTCTGGAGGAGCGTCTCAGTTCAGGTATGCATGGTTCTTCTTGAACTGCTTCAGGATTGATCTGAACATCATTTCCAGAAATCTCCTCAAACTCAGCAAATTCCTTTGTTTCAGCTTCGGTATTGGAGCTACTTGATTCTATAATTGACCTGTCTTTGTACATCACATTCTCATTGAAAATGACATCTCTGCTTCTGATGATCTTTCGATTTTCGTAATCCCAAAACTGGTAACCGAACTCATCACCGCCATAACCAACAAAGGCACATTTGTTGGACTTAGCATTAAGTTTACTTCTTTCAGCAGAGTCTATGTGTACATAAGAAATACAACCAAACACTCTTAAGTGTGAAAGGTTTATTTCTTTCTTGCTCCAAAATTCCTCTGGTATTCCGCCATCCAAAGGAACTGAAGGCCCACGGTTGATCAGGTAAGTTGCAGTGTTGATAGCTTCAGCCCATAGAAATTTGGGCAATCTGGCATGTATCCTCATACTTCTGGCACGTTCATTCAGAGTTCTGTTCATGCGCTCTGCTACACCATTCTGTTGCAGTGTCATGGGAACTGTTGTCTCCATCTTGATCCCATTGTTTGCGTAAAATTCTCTGAATCTACGATTTCTGTACTCTCCTCCATTATCAGACCTCAACCGCTTGACTTTCAGACCAGTCTCATTTTCCACTATGGCCTTCCATTTTCTAAAGGTATCAAAACCTTCTGATTTTTTCTTCAGAAAATAAACTCACACCTTCATTGTAGAATCATCGATGAAGGTGACATAATATAATGAGCCTGCAAGAGATGAAACTGGAGATGGTCCTCATACATCAGTATGAATCAACTCTAACCTTTCTGCCTTGGGTGTCTTACCAATCTTTGCAAAGCTGACTTTCTTTTGTTTGCCAAAGATGCAATCCTCGCATAGTCTGACATCTACATTCTTTAGATCCAGCAGCTTTCCTTTTGACAAAAGTGTCTTCATCCCTTTCTCGCTCATATGGCCAAGCCTTTTGTGCCATAGGTTTGATTTTCCATCAGCATATGCTGCAGTAATGATATTCTCTAAATTTGAGGTTACATAGAGAGTATCAGTCTTCTTACCACGAACAATGACGAGTGCTCATTTGGTGATCTTCCATTCACAGCCTGAAAAAGTTGTGTTATATCCTTCTCCATCAAGCTGTCCTACAGAAATCAAATTTCTTTTGAGGCCAGGAATATGTCTCACTCCTGTCAGCTTCCAGGTAGTCTGGTTTGGCAACTTTAGTCGGATGTCTCCTTTTCCGACGATCTTTAAGGTTTCATCATCAGCTAGATGAACCTTCCCAAAATCACCACTGACATAGTTCTCCATGATTTCTTGGCATGGGGTAGAGTGGAAAGATGCCCCTGAATCCAAGATCCATGATTCAATCGGACTGTTGACGCTTATAATCATGGCATCACCTGTATCCTCTGTCATATTGGCATATTCCTGTGCGCCGATATTTTTCTTCGGTGCTCGACAATCCTTTTTAAACTGGCCCTTCTTGCCGCAGTTATAACAGGTAAAATCTTTCTTTCCCGTCCTTGATTTTCTCGTTCTGGATTTGGATCTGCCACGATTTGAATTTCTTTTTGAAGTTCTCCCTCTGGATTCCGTGTGCAAGGCTGAGGAGTTTGATGCTTCACCCGATTCTCTCCGTCAAATTTCTTCACTCAATACCAGATCCCGAACATCGTCAAATTTTAATTTGCTGTTTCCCGATGAGCTGCTGACTGTTGTAACAATAGCATTCCAACTGTCTGGTAGAGACGATAAGAGAATTAAATCTCGAACTTCATCATCGAATTCAATTTCCACGTAACTCAACTGGGTTGTGATTGTGTTGAGTTCATTTAGGTGTTGAGCCACCGATGACCTTCCGCCATCCGCAAATTGAACAATCGCCTCATCAAATGAACTTTGTTTGAGGCCGATGACTTCTCATACATACTGGAGAGAGCCACCATAAGACCCGCTGTGGTCTTTTCCTTTGCTATGTTGAAAGCAACATTGCGGGATAACGTCAGTCGGATAACTTTGAGGGCTTGTCTGTCGAGAAGAGCCCAATCTTCATTCTTCATGCCCTCTGGTTACTTTCCTGAGAGAAGTTGATATAGATTTTTCTGGTACAGAAAATCTTCAATCTGCATCTTCCAAAAGCCAAAGTTAGCACCATTGAACTTTTCAATTTTCACATTCCCTTCGTCTGCAGCCATCGCTCTCACTCGAATCTGGCTTCTTTGGATCGTTCTGATAATTTTCGTGAACCGCCGTGTATTAGAACACATCCGTCAACAAATTCTTATCGCCGAAAAAAATTCACTATTCACGTGAATGGTAATGAATAGTAATCCCGCAAAAATTGACAAAATTCACAAACAAAAGCTCTGATACCAGTTGTTGGGAAATAAACGAGTAAACAAGTAATTTCCCTATAACCAGATTAATAAGAATGCAAAATAAAAGCGAAAAAATAATACCCGAAAATTGATAATGGAGTTCAACCAATTGTGTTTACGTCTCCGGACTGCTGCAGATCTTTTACTAAGAGAGAAAATTTACAGGTATTTACAAAACACTCACTACTCACAAGAAACCCTCTAGTATTGGGAGAAAGAAATGATTTGGGATTTGGGATGATTTTGAAGCTAAATGAGCTAGGGTATTTATAGTTGAAACTTAGGGACTAATCTTTGAAAATACTCTAAAGTGCAATGACTAAAGTGAATTTACCCATTCCTATTTTCAACAAACATCTACCAAACTTTATCAAACTTTACCAAACTTTGAAAAACATTTTTTTCAAAGAAACATTTACCAAACTTTGAAAAACATTTTTCAAAGTTGGTTGCCAAACTTTGAACTAACTTTTAACATGCAGAACGTTGGTCACCGGGCGTGCATGGCGATCTATAGGTTGCTGAGCGTGCATGGCGACCTACCTCATCTCACCACAACTCACGGGGACGGCATGACGACCTACGTAAGGACTGTAGAATTAACCCTATCTCAGCAATTAATCTGGCCAGTGCATCATCTCGTGAAATATTTTTTTTGAATGCATTATGTCGTGAGTTTTGCCTTAACATAAACCAAGACATGAGCGACAAATGCAAGTAATAATCCCACAATCGTGTAAAGAAAACCCGCAGCGAACCCTTCCAATCCAAGCTGTACTTCTGTTCCTCGGTAGAAGAATATCAATTTGTCTGGATCGTCCCTGTCCATCAAGAACATCGGCATCCTCCTTATTATGGTATGCACTGCCCCCGAAACGCTGAAGAAATAAACAAAATGGCTCCCGAAAGCCAAATCTTGGGATTGTGTAGCACGGTTTCGCCACTGAATATCTTTCTAGCGGCAAACACAGACCAGATCAGTAAAAACCCGAGGATGATACCGATTTGAGTTTTTGAAATGATGGGAGGACGATGGATGGGACCCACGGTGGGTTTAGTTTTAGACTCGATGAAATCGACGAGTGATTCAGTGAATCGAGTGAAACCGGCCTGATGCATTCGTTCCGAGTCATCTTTCAGTGATTTGGCGGCGGGGCCGACGAGGTCGAGGTTGGGAAGGGAATTGACCCCGAAGAGGTTGAAAGAAGATTTGGATTCGCGGAACTCGATGTCGCAGAAGAAGAGCTTGGGGCTAGTCGAATTGTGGTTGGCGATGAAGGAAGAGGCGACGAAGGCGAACTCTTGGATGAGAGCCTCTTCCTTCATCGCAGAGGCTGAGCTCGAATTTATCGCGGAGTTGAATGGCGTCGAAGAAGATGAGCAGAGAGTAAGGGTGTGGTGTTTTCTGGGACGTGAAGAATTTGGAGACAGATTGATCGTCCAAATGGATGACTCCCGATTTCGATTGGGATTGAAGGGCGAGAAGGTGGTCGATCAGGCATGACTGTGATTCAGCTTTTGAAATCACAAGGGAGAGTGAAACGAATGATAGTATGAAGAAATTTTCCATCAATCTGTTGTAGCATCAAAAGATTGTTCACTTTCATGCATTCACTTATAGGGTCTAAGTAACAGGTATAGCCCTAGCCCTAGCTCTTGCAGTTTAGTTTGAAAAGGTCCTAATATTTAATTTCGATATCTTGTGTGTTTAATCAATTTCTTTTATATATTTATTTCACAATTTTTTCAGTTTAATTGAAAAATATTTAATTTAAACCAAATAATTTGATTACTTCCATTGAAAATATTTTGTTTGCTATTTTAAGAATTTCTTGTATAAAATAGCTTCAAATTATGAGTTAGGTTCTAAATTGATGTTTTGATGTAGGTTTAAATCAGGGATGATAATATGATGGGATGCATGATTTAAACTTTATTTAGTTCTATCATTACAAAGATTAATTCTATTCGAATTCAAAAAAAAATACTTGGTATTAAAATCTTATTGAAAATCTCACTTTAGGTAGATCTTTAAATTTTATTTTATTAATATACTTTTATCAAAATAAAAATGCTTATTATTCAACTTAAAAATTAAAATAAATTTTATTTTAATAGTATTATAATTCTAGAACTAATTTTTAAGAGTCAAATCTAAGCTCACCAAAGATGACGGGAGAGCAGAATACACGGAGAAATTAAAACTTGATTTTGGACGTGCAAACGGAATCGGCGGTCTGGTTTTGGAGAGAAACAGAGATATTACAATTTCTGCTACTTGAAGCTTTAAACTTGAAAATGTTGAAGACGTTCACTTTGCCATGCAACGTCGTGGACGAGGTGAAATTGAAAACCCCGCTAAAGAAATCGCTCAAGAAATGATCATCGGCGGCCAACTCGTGGGCGAAGACGATGACCGATGTGCTGATGTTGTGCTTGGATCGAGGCGAGATGGAATCTTCTCCGATGGGAGCTTCGGCTACTAGATTCCCACGGTAATTTATGAAAGCAGTGGCGTTGTGGTACTTAAAACCTCCGTAGTTGCGATTATCAACCGTGACCGTGAGTCCAATCGTGGCGTTCCCCTCGATATCCTGGTACGGGAAAAGAACCACCCGGATGGTGGTGCTCTGGAGGGTAACGGATTGAACGATGATGTTTGGGTCTTTGGGTTTGAAGAGGGTGAAGTATAATGTAACTAAAACCACGACAGAGATGATGAGCACAAGTGCGGAGACCACACAACAGATTCTCCATTTTCCCATGACTAACAATTTGGGAAGTGGCTTGAACAACAAGGTTTACATATAGCTGATTGTGTCAATGACAATGGCAATGGAGATGAAAGCAATGTGAATATTTTGGTTTTATTTGTGTTTTTACTTCGGCCTGCACACAAGTGGAGCTTTTTGGATTTTCACAAACAACACTTACAAGATATACATTTTTATCAAAATTTAACTTACATACATACACACGCATATATAAAATATTTCATAATATCCAGGAAATTGAGAGATGAATTTTTCTTAAACCCGAACCTGAGTAATTTGATCGAACGTAAAAAAAATCTGAGATGACCAAAAATCTGAAATTCATAAAAAAATTATCAATTTTGATCAAATTAGTCGGATGTGAAGTTTTTATCATCTCTAAATAGCTTTAAACATTATATAATCTCTATTTATTGATTGGATTGGTTTTAGGTTAAGTATATTTAAATGTCGGTAAGCAATTGCTAGTCTAGAAATATTTTTATGGTGAGGAAATGTGGTTGGACACGAATAAATTTCACTGCGAGCATAATTGACAAAAATGAATAGCTAACAAAAAAAAATTCAAATTTCAAAGTGAGTAATTACCTACTCTAAACTACACTTAGATCCATCATTGTCGATAAGTTAGAATTTAGGTTGGATTTGAGTTTAAAATATTTCGAATTTAGTCAGATCCTTCAATCATAAGAATCTAAATTTAGAGTATTTGTGTTTATTGCTCAGGTTTACATCATTTTAATACTCGGTTCATTCGAAATTTATATCAACTGATTTAAGAGTAAAGTAATGATTTAATATTAAAATATAGGGTTAATATGTCACACCTTAAAAATCTTGAGGCTTTAATATGAGATTAAAGTAAATTAATTTGAGGACTGATTAGTCAGTTTTTGAAAATAAAGGGTTATTTTCATCATTCTTCATAGTTCAGGGTCCTAAAGTTGAATTTGACACTCTCTTTTCAGCTTAGAAAAAAGAATAATAAAATAACATGGAGTTTTTGAGGAAACAGGTTTTGGATATTTCCTCAAGGAGGGACATGGCTTTTGCTACTTTGGGTTTTGACGATAAAATGGGAGCTTTGTGCTCTTCCTTTCAATGTGCAGTTTTCAAGTGATAAAATGTGGAGTTTGCTTGGGATAATAAATGTGAAACTAGATATGTTTTGAGGATGAAATTATATGTGGTTAGGTGCTGGCTTTGTGTTCGACATTGTTACTGGCCATTTTTGAAATGCATCCCAACAATTTATTTATATCAAGCATTCTAGTTGGGATAATGTGGCCTAGACTCCTATTATTCATCTCTGATGACTGTAGTTTTCAAATTTACTGATTATAGATGGTGGATATCTCTAGTGAATCTCATTGCTAATGATCATTCTGACCAGCCAGTGAAAGCATATTCACACCATGAGTTGTTCTCGTTGTCTGCCTTAAACTGTGTAATGCGTGTTGGTAGGTATTAATATGTATCTGTTCAGTCTATCTCCATCCTGTTTTTCTGACTTTATTTATACAAGTCTCAAGATGCAATTGTGGAGTATTTTATTTAGCATGGGTACCCCTAACCTTTAGATTGGGCTTTAGTTACCTAATGACTCACCATGCTGTTTACCTCTCTGGATGTGTTATTCATTGATGGAATCTACTTGTACTTACATCGTTCATTTGAACTTGCCATGTCTAGAAGCTGCATCATAACCCACAACTTCCCTCATGGTTTAATCTTTAAATTACATTGGTATCTATCAGAAGAGCGACAGAAATTGGATGTTAGCACATTCCACGTATATTACAAGATAACAAAGTAGATGACTGTATTTTAGGCCAAGTTTTATATATGTATTTGTTTATATATGCTTGTGTTTTGCACTGATGGATTTTGGTATGTGACTGCCTTGCATCTCTCTATGATAAGAATGCATGTCAACACCCAAATACTTTTGAAATGTAAAACATCAAATCTTTGCCTATACTTTTGTAAGATGAAGCACAATTTTCCAATTTAGTCATCGTGAAGTGGTTCTTTTTCTGATTTCTGAATCAAATCACACGTGATAGTCATGTTAACTGTTTGCCTACCACCTCTGACGTTGGCTTGCAGATCTATGCTTCTGTGTTTCTCATGTAAAGAATATCTTTTAAACTACTAAGCTAAAGCAAAGATAATAAAAACTACTATTAACCTGGGCTAAAGGGTAGATAAATATAGCCTGCGATCCATTATAGTAAATCAGGTCATTGGCATTTTCTTTGTGATTATTTGCTATGTTTAGTGGCAGTGGAAACCTTAAGTATAGGCTAAAAGAATACCCTTTCAAGAAAAGAAAAAAAACGGATTATGTTATTGATATCACTTAAAGGTGAATGGGACCAGAAAACATATAAATTGTTTGTATTGGTTATGTTTATCATCATTATCTGGGAAATTAAGTGAATGATACCTCATTGATTGAGCTATTTCTGAAATTTTAGATATTATCGATGTACTAATAAAGAATGGCAAAGAGATTGAGGCGGTGTACTTTGCCAGAGCAGCTGGCCTTACAGAAAGATTTCCTCCCGTTTCTCTACTCAAAGTCCTACCTGCAGAATTCCAAAAAGAATGCCACCACTATATTGAAGAATGGAAATTTTTCTGCAGCTGCAACGGTATATATGCGCTTTCACTTTTTATCTTTTAATCGCATAACAGATTATGTTGGAATGTCCCCATAATGTTATCTGCAATTCTTTCATTTCCTTGGAAAGCATCATATCGCAAATTGCAAGGATGAAATTGTAATAGTGGATGGATGAGCTTCTTTTACCTGGTGGATTTCATCCGTCGTTCCTAATGTATCAAAATGACGTTTTCGTCCCAAATAATTGGCCTCGGGTTTAATCATTCTAGGCTCTTCTTTTTATCTGTTTAAAAATCCAAATATTAAACATGTGTTGTGTAAAGCAGTGGCTGTGGAGACAGAAGAAGCGATGAGTAGGAGTGTTCAAAAAAAAAATCCGAAACCTTTAATTGAATATTTAATAAATTAATTAATTGAAATGTTAATACTATATGGTTTTGGTTACTTAATATGATGGTTAATAATTAAGGTTACGGTTACGAATTTTTATAAACGGTTAACTAATAGATGACCGTTAATAAATTAAATTTATAATTATATTTCTAATTTATTAAATTTTTACATAAATAACTTAATATAAATTTCTATTATTTATAATTTGTATATATTTTTAATAAAAAATTGTATACAAATAATTTATTTATTTGAAAATATAGAAACATTCTTACACCAATATAATTATATGTTTATTGTTAGGTACTAAGATATTGGGAGATGTACATACTTATATCGGAGTAAATATGTGTTAAGTACTACATTTTTTTATTTACTTACATCGTTGTAAGTATGTGTTAAGTGCTATATTTTTTTTGTTTTATTTAGTTACGCTGGTGTAAGTATGTGTTAAGCGTTACACTTGTTTATTTTTATTCACTTATATCAGTGTAAGTATGTATTAAGTGTTACATTTTTTTGCAATATAAATTATGAAAAAAAAATTGATATAATTATAATAGATTAATCGTAAGTTAATCTGTAATCGAACTGTTAATAACGATTAACTATTTCTTAATAGTTAAAATATAATTAAAAAATCTCATAACTATTATAATTTGATCATCTAAACTAAACGGTACGATTAATTATAATAAACAGTTTTAGCAATGAGCCCACCACCTGTGCAAATTCTATGAATGAATGATTCATTATAATTATAGTTTGTCGTCATCCCATCTATTTTCTATTTAAGAAACCCTCCATTCATTATGTTGACAATCTCGATGCAACCCCAAATGTCAATAAACTTTCTTCACTTTCAATTAAATCATTTGAAAGAATTACTCCTTTTTTTTTTTTTTTGCTTCCTTTAAGAATTCATTTGTGTAATTACTTTACTTATGATTATTTATATCTAAACATAATAAATATACATATTTACAATTTATTTGTTCATTGTTTATTAACTAATTACTGATTATTTGAAATAATTAATGATATTATATTTTTTTTTACTTTTTGAACCATGTTTAAATTTGGGATTTAATCTTAATAGGTTAATTTGATCCTATACTTTATAACGTTATTAGTTAGTATACTTAATTGTTTTTTGAACAGAAACCTAATTAATAAATACTATCATTTAGAGTGGTATTTAAAATTAAAATTTATTTTTATAATATTTGATTTAAATTAAATAACCTGTGAATCGAATAGTGACTATAAAAAAATATAATAAACTCGAACACAATAATTTGAAATGTGTGACTTTTGAGGACAAGTTCGTATAGAACAATTACACGTTGCCTTTAGGGGGTGTTTGGATTGGGGAATGTGGGATTCCCATGGGAATGGAATCCACATTCCCCCGTTTGGTTAGCCCGGGAATCCTATTCCCGGTAATGTAAGATTATCAATAGTGGATTTTTTGGGGTATATTACCGGGAATGTCATTACCTCCCTTTCCTTAGGTATTGTTGGGATTACCGGCGTTTTGGACTAAAATGCCCTTAAATTTTTATTTTTTTTCAAAAATATATTTATTCTGTCATCGAATAATAAAAATTTTACGAATGTTAAATTACAAATTTATCCTTAAATTATTTTAGATTTACAAAAAAAATCTATAATTAAAATTTTATATAAAGTTCAAGGGTTTAAATAAAATTTTACCCTTTCATTAAACTTTTTTTTATTTTTAATTTTGTAAAAAATATATAAATATTATGAATTTAATTTTTTTAAAGAAAATATATAAATATTTTCCAACTTGTAATATTACACAAATATATAATTAGGACAATTTGGTCAAATATACATTCCAATAATCTTTTATTCCTTTAACCAAACACGGTAATCTTACATTCCTGCTAAGCCAACCAAACACAAAATACAACATTCCCAGTAATGTTATTCCTTGTTAATC